GATTTTATATTGACTACTCCTAGTGTCTATATTTATTACTAGAAAACGAATCCATGAATTAGTTTAACACACTTATCAAATTTTTCTGTATTTTGACTTTATTTCATAATGATGAAAGAAAAAAAAAGTTTGGCAAAAGGCGGGATCAAACCCGGGTCGATCGATGTCTCGTCCAGTCAGCGGTGAGTAATCCCAAACCAATGGCGCTGTCTCAAACTATACCTACCTCTTCCGGTTTGTCTGATTTGTTATTGTGTTTTCTGACTTGTTAATTTGTTTTCGGATTTGTCGTTGTGTTTTCTGACTTGTTATTTTGTTTTCGAATTTGTCATTGTGTTTTCTGACTTGTTATAATGTTTTCTGAATTGTTGTTGTGCTTTCTGAATTATTTTGTTTTTTAGACTTGCATTTGCGTTTGTAATTTGTTATTTTGTTTTCAGAATTGTGATTTGTTTTGCACTTCTCGGCCACCGTAGCTTCACATTTCAGCTTACATATCTTACAGAATGTCTTTCCCCTCAGACTTGAATGCAATGCCCTATAGTGAGTGTTACTTTAACACTACATGTGATCTGGGATTTTTCTTTAACTGTACAGCACATTAACACACACATGGCTCGCTCTCTTTCGCACACATAAAGAGCATTTACATTGATATGCTTTATATCACAGTTGAATAAAGAGCTCTCTGTCCTGTGTCAGATCATGTCCTCACTAGTTTCTCCATTACAGCTATTTTGTCATAAATCCCTCTGTCACTGTAATGAGACAAAGGCAAACTAAAATGAACAGGAAGAGGAACACAACTGAGGCAATTCATGAGCTTCTGTTTTCAACACACAAAACCTCAAACGTGTACACAGACACATCACAGTTCAACAAAAATAAAAATTCTGTCATCATTTATACCATACGTGTACATTTTTAACTGAATTGTCACACTGCTCCTTTCCATACAATTAAAAATATACAGTAACTATGGACTGTAAAGTTAAAAAAAAAAAAAATATTGCTGCAAGCATCGATCGCTACACGCTTTTAATTATATTTTTTATTAAATATTTATTTATTTGTGAAAAATACTTTGTCATTTAAAGTATAAATATGTTTATTTTACATATTTATTTTTAAATCCATTTTCAAATTATTTAAAATTTCTAAAATATGAATTAAAATAAATAAAATTATATCGGCTTTATAATATCGGCCATCGGCCACCCTGCTTTCCAAGATATCGGCATCGGCTGTCAAAAAACCAATGTCGGTCGACCACTAATTTTGATACTCACACCTATAAGAAAATGCAGTTGTCAATCCAAAAAACTGACAGTGTGAGCGTAGCCTTTGTTTATTAAACCAGGTTGGTTTTTAGTGATGTCTGGCAACACTTCACCTTATATGAGAAGAGCATGCCCTTGTGTAAGGGAAGAGTGAACAGCTGCTTGGTCAAGTGGGAGTTATTTAATAAGGCAGTTTACATATCTTGCAATATATTTTGTAATCCCGTTATTATTTTACTCTAGCCCAGTGGAGACTGAGACTGCTGTCACCGCTGCGCTGAGCTTTTCTTATTCGCTGTACTTCTCATAAAAATGATGTTGTTTCTGTGATCGGCAGGATTAGAGACCATGTATGAAAGTAAGTGATTTTGAGCTGCTTCCAGCTGATTATTTATAGCATTCCTAGAAACATTTCAAGGGTTTTTTGTGCATTTAATTTTAACCTCAAATCATACTTTATGAAAAGAATGAACTATTCCATTAATCCTGCTGCTTAAACTGCATTGAATGACGAGAGTGAACCACACAAAACTGTCTGACACTCATGTATGGTGTGAAAACACATCAGAGATGAGCATCATGAATGTGAAGACAAGAGCAGGTTAGTGGATCAATTCCCTAAAGATGACTGGAATCAATACAAGTCCAGAAACACAATTTTAGCACTTACATTGAGACCACGGCCACATTTAGTCTCTTATTATATAATTTAGTGTCTTAGCATGGCCTCATGGATCACACTTCAGAAGCCTGTGGATGGCACAGACACACAACACTACATTACAGTTCATATCATCATTACTGAAGATCACAGACAATTTCATGTATCACCACACAGACACACCTCATGCTACATATTATATAGTTCAAAACGCTTCTTGATACTCCATCAGCAATGGCAAAATCAACAACAGTAGCTGTATATGACATACAGAAAAATCAATGCATATAAATCACTCAAGCATTTCTCATCTAATGCTCCCAAGAACAAATTATTTGACCCACATTAGCTCTGTATTCGTATTGCATGTCAACAATTGACTCAGTAACTGAGAAGTCTCCTGAGCAATAACAGAGCAGCCTGTGAGTGTGTGTGTGTGTGTGTGTGTGTGAGAGAGAGAGACAATTCTCTACAGAATGTGTGTGTGATAAAGGGAACTGGCAACCAGAAGCGGGAACACTCCCCCTAAAATCCCAATGTGTCTGTTACATCATAAGCAAAATGGCATCTACACTTACTTTAGTCTGTCTGTCTCATCCTTATCCCAAGGTTACCGTATTAACCGAATCAGCTCAGTATCTAGACCAGATGGTGGACCTGCAACCAGAAACGACCACAACACAGCCCTCAATGAGACGAGGCCTTTGGGGCAGAGCCTCAGCAAACACCTCTGCGACTAGACGAGCCCTCGGCACAGATCATTATGGCCAGCTATGAACGCATCATGCCAGGACAAGATGGGACCCAATCAGTCATCTACTACCTGCTACTACCTCAATCAATATCACAATGTGTTTGTTTGCTTAGGCCAGAGGACAACTGGATCCCCAAATGAACCTGTTTACTCCCAAGATTTTGTTTCCACATTTCGGTCACCTCATGGAGTTTGGCTTCCTTGCCACTTTCGCCTGTGGCTTGCTTAGTTGGGGGCTGAAAGTCACTTACAGAAAATGTATTTATATTACCACACTGATACCACTGACAAAATGAACTTGAATCGAATTAAGCTCGATGACTTCACTTTTGTCTTCTGTAGAGCTGCTTTACAGCTGAATCTGAACTGTTTCCATAGCTGAGTTTCCTTAATTGTGTCTGTTATTTTCCTGTTTATCACTGTGAACCTGCTTTGACACAATCTGTATTGTATACAAATAATGGTGACTTGACTTCACTTGACTATCAGTCATTATCCAACCCTGCGGCCATCAGTGGTCTAACGTTCAACGTTCACAGAAATGAAGTGCCTGTTATTCTGTTGAAATGCCTCCGAGTCCTTAGCTTGATCAATACTATATTATTCTATTTTAATTGTACCTGAATGAGAAAGACAGAAAGGTAGATGAAGAAAAAAGTGGTAGTTCTTTTGCATTGTGCATCATGACTACATTACATCCTGACTGATCAATGTAGTCATAATGTACATGATGTAGTAACAGCTGTAACATGAAACATCTGCTCCCTAAATCCTTACAGCACCTATAGAGGACAAATATTAAGCTTAGTTTTACATGCCAAAGAGCAGATCTTCTAGCTGAAAGATGACTCTGATTTTGCTTAGTAAAGAAAAGTTTTTATTTTTTTAATGTAGTAATTTAAAAGCTATGAATATCACGCAATAAGTAGTAACTATAAATATAGCAATACATACTGTGTGTCATACCTAACACCCTTTAGTCAAGACTATTATTAATGTACATAATAACAATATGCAATAATATGGACTCAAATCTTATTGCTTCGCAATGAAAATGCTTTCTTTAACTTTCTTCCTTTACATTTTTTTTGTACACAGCTTAGCTGCAAAAACTAGCAATATGTACAATTATTTATTGTTTATTAGTGGTGTGGCACAATATATTATCTACATTTTAAGAGCTAAAGAGTTCTCTCTCATTCAAGACTGAAATATGGATGTCACATTACCATCCATCAAAACCGAGCTTCTTTTAACAGTAAATGTATTTGATTTATCATCTGATTTGTAAAGGGCACTGAGTATGTCTAAATAATCTAAAACTTAACTAAACGTATCTTGGCATTCAATGCTTTGCATTGTTTGAAACATAGAAAGCATGCACAAACAACTGTTGAAGCAGGTATTTAGCATATCACCAATCTGCAATGCAAACAAAATCTTTACTATTTTTAGAGCACTGAGAATTACAATCCTAGAAAATGTATCCAACACAACTGACGCAAACATATTCTCTAAAGTCTACAGACTCTACACACACAAAACAGACACAATGTATCAATCTAGGTTTTATGTTAGGGACTCTGCTTATTGCTTCGGATATTATGTAAAAAAACTCACAAAATCTTTCTTTCATTATTTTTCACTGCTGTTTTTGATGATAACAGGTGGCTGAGAGCAAGTTTACTGTAACAATCACTGGATTCTATGGTAATTTGAAAACTATGGTTACTATGGCAAATACAGTTACCATACAGGTCAGTCCATGATCTGATCATCTAAAATCCAAAATATGTTTCTTGATGACAATGGCATTATTAAAAAAATAGTGGATCTAAACGAAATCACAAAAAAAAAGTACTATCGAGGCTTTGGACATGGTACCACGATGATCAAACGTTCTAGACATGTAACATGCTAATAATATCACGGTTTAAGCACAAATAACATGGTAACAGCAGGGTACCTACTGTTCTTCCTAGTGTTTTTAAGTGACATGTAATATATGAATATGGTAATCATCCAATACCATGATATTAACGTTACCTACTGATGCCATCACCTCTTCGTAACTAATTTAACAGCTGTCAGTCAACTATCAACAGCATCTCAATCTCATGACACAGCACTAGGAATTAAAAGACATTATAAAGCATCCACGGATGATGAAAGACACCGGACATCACTGACGCAGAAGATTTGCGGTTGCTATGATACTCGTCTGTCTTGAGACAGGGATGAGGCTTATAGCAACGACACACAGAGACGATGATGATGATGATGATGGGCGTGAGCGCGATCTTACCATTTACACATCTTCATTATCTCGCCGAAACTACACGCAGAATCTCATCCAGCACGTTACATATTCACGTGTGCGTCCACAATAGATCCCGTCGGTAGATGTGATCATGTCTGTGTTTATAATCCAGTGACAGCAGCACATCAGGGAAGCAGAGCGAAAATAACCCATACAGACGCGTCAGACTGCAGCAATCAAACCCCGATCCGAGAGAGATGACGATACACGTCTACGGTCACTCGCTCTGGGATGGATTAAAATGTCTGCTGCAAGGGCGTGTGTTTGTTTTGGTGAGCCGGACGAACCTGCAGAACAGAAGCGTCCCCTTCTGGATTAATTGTGTATTTATTATTATATTATATTATATTATATTATATTATATTATTATAGGCTATATCAGTGTTGGGAAGGTTACTTTGGAAATGTAATACAAGTTACCCAATTACAAGATTACAAGTTACCCTGTTTAAAATGTAATAAGTACATAACTATTTCAATTACTTTATTAAAGTAATGTAAATGATTACATTTGATTACTTTTCTAAATTTCTAACAAATGTTTTCAACTGATAATCATTTTGAAACATTTAAACCAGGCAGGGTTAACACTGTCAAAGCACAGCCACCTCAAAATCAGACATTAGCACCTCTTTTCACTCTGAGATCGTTCTGAGGTTAAATACAGATTTAAAATCATTAGAAATAGTTTAATAGCTATGATACTGTTTTTGAAATCAAATCTTTGCATAGCTATGACAGGAAACACTGGCATCTAACAGCTAATCTTAAAAAAATAAAGCATACACGTAAACCCAAATAGAAAATAAAACAGTAATCATATATTTTAATCTGTGGTTGTGTGTGAAAATATTCAGATGTAACCCCCTTTGTAATCTTTAAATTTAAATTTTTAAAAACATTTTTAGTACGTTTAAAATGATAAGATTAAGATGGGATGAGTTGTTCATGTATCCATCAGTTTGCTTCTGTGAAAGAGTGATTTTTTTAGAGTTGATCAAATGATCTCAGGGCTCATGACTGAGGTTGGAATTAAAGTAGCTCCATCTAGTGGCCACTGATAATATGATACAGTGCAATGCTTTTGATACGATACAACATTCTTGAAAGGAACACAGTAAAGATCAAAATGATAAACTTAACCTAGCAATAAAAATAGTTAATGTAAATGTAAATCATTAACATGTAGTCAATCTTCAGTCAAAGGATGTGGCACAGATAAGTTAATGTTACAGAGAACTTACTGCATATTGGCAAATTCAGATGTTTATTTCAAACTACAGCCTCAAACAGAGCACATTTTTGTTTGTCAAAACAGATTTTTTACATTTTTATTTATTTATTTACTTTTTTTCACATTACCTTCTAATTTCTCACAATCATTTAAGTGTTCAGTATTTTTGTACTGGTGAAATTTAGCTGAAATTCATTAGCTTATTAACTACATTTAAAATACACATTATATGTAGTGAAAGATACCTTAATTTACTGTCTTCAGATAATTGATTTACTTTTTATATTTACTCTAAATAGAATTTCACTCTTCAGCTACATCCATTATGTTTAGATTTCATATTTCACTACATCTCTTCCAGTCCTGTGACATGTATTCTCTACTATAGATGGTATAGGAGTTTTCATTAAGGATCAGAGGAGAGAAAAAACTGAGAGAGCAAACAAACCTGCTGTCATTTGCTCGCATGGAAGGAGAGAAAGAGAGTTAATAATTGATGTGGTCCTGTTCCCAGCAGCTCTCTGTCTCACAGAAGACATTTAGCCGTGATGGAGATCAAAGCCGCAAAGACTCCTTGCTGTTGTGCAGAAAGGAGGAACTACTGATCGCCTTCCTCTCGCCCTAATAGCAGCCCTTTCATGAAGTTAATAAACTGCACACCTCAGTCACACTACACAGCACAAACGGCTTTGTGAATTAATAACTCAAAAGTAGAAAGCCACCTCTGTTTACCTGCCTTCAACTCAACCAACTTTTTATGTGTATAGAGGACACATAAAAGGCCTCTTTCTATGTGATATATGTAAACATGGTGGAGCAGTGTGATGGCATGAGCATGTATGGCTTCCAGTGGCACTGGGTTACTGGTGTTTAGTGATGACGTGACAGAAGACAGATGCAGCCGGAAGAATTCTGAAGTGTACAGGGATATACTCTCTGCCCAGATTCAGCCAAATGGAGCAAAGTTGATTGGGCAGCGCTTCAGTACAAATGTACGATGACCCAAAACATACAGCAAAAGCAACCCAGGAGTTTTTGAAGGTAAAAAAGTGGAATATTCTGCAATGGCCAAGTCAATCTCCTGATCTCAACCCGATTGGGCATGCATTTCACTTGCTGAAGACAAAACTAAAGGCAGAAAGACCCACAAACAAACCACAACTGAAGTCAGCTGCAGCAAAGGCCTGGCAAAGCATCACAAAGGAGGAAACCCAGTCTTTGGTGATGTCCATGAGTTCGGGCAGTCATTGCCTGCAAAGAATTCTCAACAAAATATTAAAAATGAAAATTTTATTTATGATTATATTTATTTGTCCAATTACATTTGAGCTCCTGAAAAAGGGAGGGCTGTGTATAAAATGGTTGTAATTTCTAAGCTTTTTATGTTATATTTTTTGTTCAGCCCCTTGAATTAAAGCTTAAATTCTGCACTTCAATTTCATCTTGATTGCTTTATTTTTATTCTATTCTGGTAGCATACAGAGTCGAAATTAGGAAAATTGTGTGAGTGTCCAAATATATATGGACCTAACTGTATATTAAATGTATACCACAAATATTACCATGATGTTATAACTAAGACATATGACATATAACAAATTGAAATAATAATCATAAAAATGTGTTTTTGTGTTATGGTAATAATAATTAGCAGGCAAATATACATAGTGTAAATGTGTCATGAAAATAATTTCACACGGCAAACAATCATAGTGGTCTTAATAAGATTTTGATTTTGCATTCTAACATGTTTTGTAAAAATCTCCTATAAAGCCCTACCAACTTAATGACATCTGAAAACAGCATTTAGGATGCAAATCTTAGTATGTTGATGTCACAGGTGTTTCCTTTATGGCCGGGTCGTCAGCTGAATGCTCAACACTGCCGGCCCTGCAAAACACACACATGGGGCTGAACGCTTCAGAGCTCAAGGTTTTTCAACAAGGCCTCGCTTTGTTGTTTGTAACCTTTTGATCTTAAATAAGAGCACAGGGGTGGCCGACGTGCAAAGAGAGAGACAAAGTCAGCGCGAGAGAAAGCTTGCTTTCATAATGAATGTCAGCTCAGATAACAAAGCCCCATTTGCATATCATAATCCAAATCTTTCCTGCTCAGATCAGGTGCGCTGTGAAGGAATCTTTTTCTTGGTTGCCTTTGAAAGTCTTTGATGTGCACAGCAAGAATGAATATGAAAAGGAACTGCTAGCCGATGAGGTCACGTTCTCTCTAACTCTCTTTCTCTGCCTCTTCCTCATGTTTTCCAGATGGAAATGAAAACCTGCAGCATGTATAACACTGTTGATGAAAGCTCACTAGCGATGAAAGCTTTATGCTGTCAGTTCTAAATGAACTGAGATAATGAAATCTAGTTTTCTAAGTAGTTTTATTCACTCATAGTAAACAATAATAGCGTGAAACATTCATTCTTCCCAACCTCAGATGGCTCACCCAAAATAAACACTTCCCAAACACAAATTCAAATAAATTCAGCTTTGTCCACTATATAATATTGAAAGACTTGCCACTTGGCTGGTTACGGCAACATAATACATGGTTTAAATTAGTGGCATATTGCACACCTTGGAGGCCACATAAACCATGAGACAGACTCAAATGATGGCATGTGTGCATTGTGGATCAAATATTATCTCAGGGTATCAAGTATGCAAGTGGTTTAAATTAAATTACAAGAACGAAAGTCTGATGCAACATGCACTATTTAAATAAAAGACATTCAAACCCTCTACTAAAGAAAACATCTACTTGCTCCAATGTAACCATAGTCAAAAGTCTGGCTACTATCACATCTTCTATCAACTTTTAGGTGGATTTGTTAGAAGCTTCACCATCAGTACTTTCTTAATGATGTCTACAGTTTTCTCCAGAACTCTCCAGAACAAAGTTCATTTTGGATCCTGGCCGCAGACCATCAGAACAGTCCGATATTACTTCATAATGCAAGAGCTGTGAGGAAAGAAGACATGGCATGTTGACTGACACGTATTTAGTAGAAGTAAATTATTATTGTCCAGGTGTTGCTATTTAAAGAATACAGATACAGTTATGAAATACTGTCAAAATTATTAAGACCATTAAGCTGTTTTAGCTGGATAAATTTAGAGCAGTAAATAAAGTGTTTGTCAACCATGGTCCATAAAATGACACTTATATACTGTTAGACATTATAATAAATAAAATTACATACATAAACGTTTTTATGTATATTGCTTCATTTTAGTTGGTTTTATGCTATAAGTTGTCTTTGAGTGCAGTAAACGGCATCCATAGATACAATTTCTGTATTTATTTTGTTTGCTAGCTGAGTTCAAATTGAAGGTGGGTGGTTGTGGAGCTGCAAAAAGGAGAGTGATTGTGAGAAAGAGAGGTGAGAGTGAAGCTTCTGTTTGTGGTTGTCTGGAGTTTGCATCTTTCTTTGTTTCAGATGTGGGTTCAAGTGACAAGCACACTGGAAGGCTCACAGTGTGTGAGCGTTGCTGTGTGCATCGCAGAGGTCAAATAGAGTATGCTGTCAGAGTGTGGGGTCTTCAGTCAAGGACCACCCTCACTCAACAGTATCCCACCAAGCAGGACCAAAACAGACCAGCTTGGAGTTTAAGCAGTTTGGATGCTAGTCAACACTGTGCCACACATCATGAGCTTCTGTCTGCTGTTTTATCTAATGAGCTGATGTCTGACAGGCACTTTGGTGTTTTCAGAAAGAGAGGACACTTTCCCATGCCTTGTCATGGACCCCAGCTGAAAAAGAGAGAAATAGAGGGAGGATATAGTAGACACTTGCTAATATGATCTCAGCTTCAGACGGCACACCATTAATTGACCGCTTGATGCATATTACACACAAAAACGGCAAGAGCTTTCGGCAACAAATAGCAAGCTCCGAAATTATTTTTTGTCTTTCCCAGAAGTCAG